CTAAATCAGTCTTACTTTATTCTTACTTTATCAATTCAATATCAATCGCATAAATCATTTTTTATTTGTTTGTGTGTCACTCCTTGTTCCATTGTTAGTGGGACAAATGGAGTATTAAATACTAATCAAATGGTCATCTCACTCTCGAGTTCTGATCAGACGTAAATGATTTAACCCTAAAAATAACAACATAAAAGGGCATGTGAAAGATTCGAAGTAAGAGTCGGCCTTAGATGTTAAAATACTTCCTCGCACGATAACAAAACAATCAAACTTCTCAAAACTCACCCAAAACAGACAAGAATCATCCGAATAAAATGCACAACATAGCAAAAAATAAAGCTTGAAGGAGAAATAGAACAAAAAACCGCAGGTGACCAATCTTGAAGTGGACTGTCAATACTAGGGGTGGACCCGGGCCGGGTCGGTTCCTGGCCGGGTCGGTTCGGTTCCGGGCCGAGCCTGGGCCCGGGCGGGCTTTTTTTCGAAATGTTGGACCCGGAACCGGCCCGGGTTGATACCGAGTCCGGGCCGGGCCCGGTTCTATGTAATTTTTTTTGGCTTTCTAATAAACCCCCGACCCCCCTCCCGCACCCCCCCACCCCAAAACCCCCCCCAAAACACCCATCCCAACCCAAGGAAAAGAAAAAAAATTGAAAAAACAAAAAAAATTGAACTGGGCCCGGCCCAAACCGCCCGGGCCGGTTCATGAAAATCATGGCCCGGAACCGGCCCGCTAGAACCGCCCAAACCGGCCTAAAGCCCGGAACCGGCCATTCGGGCCCGGTCCAGTCCGGGCCCGCACAGTAGCGGGCCGAGCCGGTTCCGGGCCAGTTCGGGCCAGTTCGGCCCGGTTGGGTCCATGCCTAGTCAATACGTTGCCTCCCTTGTTCATCTTGTCCACGTCATCAACATCTTCGTGTCCCTAACATATCTGCCCATCCCTGTTCTGAGATACCGCTTATCGCCCAAGCTGCCGCCCAGTACGGATGGCGAGTTCCTGATGATCAAGCTCTGCCTCGACGAGTTCCTGATGATCACCCTCTATCCCTCCTATCGGATGAAACATCGAAGAAGCTATACAAAAACACCGACGGCACGAAACAGACTCCAATACCCTAGCCTATCACTTGCGCTGCTTAGTAGTACAATACGGTGTTTTCAAGTTTTTTTTATTAAAATAGATGTTAACTAACTCTACTCTATGTATCATAGAAAATGAAAAATGAAAGTTTTACTAATTTGTTTAAGATGAAAAACATTAATAGGGAATACTACAGAAAGTACATTTTTGGTGGCAAAATTACTTTAATTTTATTGAAAATAATAATAATAATAATAATGATGATGATGATGATGATGATGATAATGATAATAATAATAATAGAAAGAACTATCAAATAAATTTTATAATATATTCAATAAGTTAATTTGGTCTCCCCATTATTAATTCACATCAAACCTTCCAACTATAAAAAACAATCAACTTTGCTTTTAATTAAACTAGTTGGATATAGATATTGTTGGCATGGTAGTCGCTGACCAATTCTTATACGGTGAGCACCGTATACCGGTATACGGTTTTAGACAAATTTGGAAGCTCCGTATGAAACATGTATTAAAATGATAGTGGGTCCTATTATTTATTTATTTCTCTTATTGTTAAAAATTATAATAACTTTTTCATTTGTGATCTGGTTTGTATAAAATTTATATCAAAATTTTTTATTTTTCATGATATATCTTTCAAATGAGACCAATATTGCCTATGTAATTTTAACATATTATCGAACTAATATATTAACCTATATAAAATATGTAATTTTACGTGTAGAAATATGTAACTCACGTCCAGTCAGGCCAAATGCAACTCGTGTGTATAAATATGTAACTCTACGTGTAAAAATATGTAACTTTACGTGTAAAAATATGTAACTCGCGTTCAGACAGGTCAAATACAACTCGTGTGTATAAATATGTAACTCGTGTATAAATATGTAACTTTACGTGTAAAAATATGTAACTCGCGTTCAGGCAGACCAAATGCAACTCGCGTGTATCAATATGTAACTTTACGTGTACAAATATGTAACTTTACGTATAAAAATATGTAACTCACATATATAAATACATACTACAATAAATTTTTTATATACATAATTTTAAGATAAATTGTGATTTACACAATTATTTTTCTGTATTAAATTTAGTTCGGTTTCTTTTATAATCCAATAATCATTTATATAATAGTTCGATAATTTGTTAAAATTACATAAGCAATATTGGTATCATTTGATAGATCATGAAAAATAACAAAATTTAATATAAAATTTATAAAAATCAGATATGAAATAAAAAAGTTATTACAATTTTTAATAACAAAAGGAATAAAAAATAAAGAAATCGTATACGCTGCTTGCCAAAAAGTATGACCGGTATACGGTGCTCACCGTATACCGGTCATATGGTATAATTTGCTGTCGCCAGTTGTTATACTGCCAGTTGTTATACGGTATGACCGGTATACGGTGAGCACCGTATACCGGCATACGGTTTTAGGCAAATTTGGAAGCTCCGCATGAAACATGTATTAAGTGAGCTGGGCTCAAGACCGTAGTAGATGACGGTGATTATGAGCTGGGCTCTAGACCGTAGTAGATGACGGTGATTATGAGCTGGGCTCTAGACCGTAGTAGATGACGGTGATTATGAGCTGGGCTCTAGACCGTAGTAGATGACGGTGATTATGAGCTGGGCTCTAGACCGTAGTAGATGACGGTGATTATGAGCTGGGCTCTAGACCGTAGTAGATGACGGTGATTATGAGCTGGGCTCTAGACCGTAGTAGATGACGGTGATTATGAGCTGGGCTCTAGACCGTAGTAGATGACGGTGATTATGAGCTGGGCTCTAGACCGTAGTAGACAACGGTGATTATGAGCTGGGCTCTAGACCGTGATAAAAAAATGATGAATTAATATTAAATGAACGGATTAACTATAATGTAATAATGCCCTAGTTGAAGACCTCAGAGATTTAAACTTTGATTATACTTAGTATAGTTGTCATTGTACTTGTCAAATGCTTCCAAGTACTGACCTCCCCTTCACGGGGGAGGCCACCTCACAGTTTCAGGTAGAACTTGAAGGTTGCTACCACCAGCCGCTGCTTCGGAAAGTTTCTGAGGAGAAGACTGGGTTCGTGCTTCTCCCGTTCTTGTTTTGAAAAACAATATGAATAATGCTCATGGATAATATTTTCTGAATAATTACTTTGGGGGCTTGCATGCCTAATTATGCCAAGTGTGGCTTGAACACTTGTATCAATTGTTTCCGCTGCTTTAATAAATGTTTTACATTATGTTTGTTTATGGATGTACTATGTGTGAATGGTATTCAAGACGCCTTGTATAGTATGGATGAGTCGGACTGCGATTGATTATTCGTACTGTATGGCGGGTTGTTGACGTGTCCGGGTAGGTCCGGGGCGTGACATGCCGCCCATCACCCACAACTTCCCCAACCGCCGCCACGCTCCGCTTATTTCCCACAACTTCCCCAATTGCCACCACCAGGGGCGGATGAACATGAGGGTAGGGGTGGGCTTCTGCCCAACCCAATCTTTTTATATTAATATAAATATAGGTTTAATTATCAGCCCACCCTAATATTAATGACCAGTAGTCCACCCCATCTCAAGCCACCTCAAGCCTGCTTGTACCTTACCTGCGGGCCTTATGCGAACTGCGGGCAATTTGCGAAGAAATGGAAGAAGTGAATAAGAACGAAGGTCGAAGAGACGAATCTCACGAACACCGAGCACCATCCGACATGCGGCCAGCAGTTGCGCCGCCTTCCTCGCCTCCACGGCCCTACGCCTCTGTGTCGGCCCTCTTCCCTCTCCGGCTCTCCATATCTGCGCCTGGGACCAGTGGTTCTGCCTCCAACTCCAAGTGACTTTGTGTCATTGTGTATTATTAATTTTATTTTTGTAATTATATTTAATTATTAATTGAATTTTTCAGTGCATAATTAAATAGCATTTATTCATTACATTTTTTTAATGATTAAAGTTAGAATTACATACGTAGTACTCCCTCCGTTCTTAAATATGTGTCCTCTTAGGTTTTGGCACGGGTTTTAAGAGGAAAATAATAGGGGTAGTGTAAAAGGTGTAGTGAGTTGTAGGTAAATGAAAAAGTAGGAAAGAGAAAGATGTAATGGTAATAAAAGTGGGGGTATAAAGGTATTTTGATTGAAAAAACTTACCAAAAAGGGAAAGATGGACAAATAATTAAAAACGTCCCAAAATGGAATGCGAGATAGTTAATAAAGAACGGAGGAAGTATTACAAAATGATTTCTTTATTGTGCAATTGAAGATTAGAGAATGATTTATTTATTTTCTAGACGTGTAAGAAAGGATTAAAATTTTCAATTGAATTTTGAAATTGAGAATACTTATAAAATGTTTTATGTACATTGATTGTTTTTTTAGTTTTATACTTTTATAGATATATCATACCAATATTGGAACTATTTTGGACAAGTTTTTATACAACGATTTACATGTTTTTCTTGTAAATGATGACATAATATAACGATTATTTTTTTCTTATTAGTTTACATCCACAAATAGGGATGGACTAAATCGGGCCGGCCCGGGCCGGAACCAGTCCGGCCCGCTACTGTGCGGGCCCGGACCAGACCGGGACCGGTTGGCCAGTTCCGGGCTTTTAGCCCGTTTGGGCGGGTCGGGCGGGTCGGGCGGGTCGGGCGGGCCGGGCTCGGGCCCAGTTTTGGGCGAACCGGCCCGGTTCAATTTTTTTTTTCAATTTTTTTTCTTTTCCTAGGGTAGGACGGGGTGTTTTGGGGAGGTTTGGGGGTGGGGGTGAGGGGGGAGGGGGATAACAAGAAAGCAAAGAAAAAAATTAGACATTGAACCGGGCCCGGCCCGGCCCAGTTAGGCCCGGACCCGGTATCAACCCGGACCGGTTCCGGGCCCAAGTGTTTGCAAGAAAAGCCCGCCCGGGCCCGGCCCGGAACCGGAACCGGACCGGCCCGGGTCCATCGACTCCATCCCTATCCACAAATTTTTCTTGTAGAAGTACTCATACATTTTTTTGTTATTAGTTTCATAATTTTATAGAAGTTTTATAATTTACATTTTGTATCAATATTTAAAGTGTTAACTACTTGATGTATTAGTATCTATGTTTCTTCAAATTTTATTTCTTAGCCCACCCCATTATTACTTTCGGTATCCGCGCGTGACCGACACGCTCTGGTATTGCCCACAACTTCCCTAACCACCTTCGTCCACAACTTCCCCGTCGTCGCGCGCCAACCATCTCCCACAATTTCCCTATTTAGAGATTACCAACAATATTTAAACCAACAGGCTAAAAAGTAAAATCAAGTGTTTTTTATAGTTAAGTAGTTAAAATTGAATGATTTGATAGTAGGAGAACTCAATTGACGTTTTAAATATAGTACGAGGACTTATTTGAAAATTTTTCTAAATTAAAATCCATAGCTTGTTGAAATACATTTTTTCAGATATTTTTCTTTTGGCACCGAACTCTTGTATGAATCTTTTTTTATTTTCCACGACTTTTTATTTATACAAGTATATCAGTATAACTTGCTCTACTTCTTCAAGATGGGAAAACACAGCTTCATTAACAAAATTAAAACTACTCCAGATACAGAAATACTGATGAACAGAACGACAAGTCCCGCTATTTTTTCTTTAAAGATTAAGAAGACTATTTTTGAAAAGGTGAAAAGAACACTGAATGAAAAATCTTCCAACATCAACTAGAATTTCGTTTTTTTTTTTATGATTAGGTTTATCAAGTGTGGCCACCAGAAGATGGCATGTTGCATATAAATTTCTAAATTTGGAATTGAAAAACAATGCACAAACTTGAGAAAGGTTTATTCACTTGATTGCAATTCAGAAGACTCGTGTTTCATTGCCGTTACAGAAGACTCTTTTATAGAGACCAGCTTTGAGGTAACCTGAAAACTCCAGTGTCTCAGTGATAGCAGGAGCCCAGGATATTTTATCTCCGCGCATCGAAGTTGGTTATCAGTTCTTCAAAATGGAAAGTACTCCAAGGGTAGGTAGGTAAATTCACATACCAAAAAGAAATACTCCGTATATATTTCAACCGAAGTTGATTCCTTGCGCCAAAGGTAATTCAGACCCATAGTTGATTGTACTGCAAATGGAATCAATCTCAAGGGTTACCACAATCACTTCTGAGATGGGATAGGAAATTTACTGGTAGCCAAAAACTTTTTGTGAAACCTAACAAGTGTTTCAAGGGATGAATGCACTTACCAAGTTGAGCGTCGCATATATTGCTTCCACGAATCGCTGCCGGCTTCACGACCACCTCCTGTGGCTTTCTCTCCACCAAAAGCACCACCAATCTCAGCTCCATTGGTTGGTATATTCACATTCACTATACCACAATCACTTCCTAGTGGACTGCCATAGAATCCAAAAAGTCAATAGGAGCACACTAATAGCAGTAGGAATAATGATATAACAATACGCACAACAAAAAATACAATAAATAATACGTAGTAATATGTAAGAAATCCAAATGAGATTTATTATTTGTAGTGAAGTACACGGTGCTTATGCCTATAAAATCTAAATACCCCATAAAATATCCATTTTACCTACAATTAAGGTCTTGCTCAAGTAAAACGAATATTTGTATGTTCTACTCCGTATTATTTTTTCCAAATACGTATAGAGTAGATATTTAATCTATAACCCCAGAAATGAAATTTTTTCCAAAGACCACCATAATCTTTCACGAAATGTGTATGCCTCATGATGAATACACTGGGTAAATGCTAAATATGAAGCTTTAGGATTACACAAACTATGAATAAGAAAATAATTCCAGTCAAATTCATTTAGTTAACTTCTGTTGGTACATCAAACTCAATTTGAATGAGTGTAACAGTTGAAATACTGACCCAATCCACTTGAATATGTGTTCAGGTTTCTTGGTGAAGATTGAACTACTCAAACCCTGAGGCACAGAGTTGTTTATTTTGACCGCTTCCTCAAATGTCTGCAAGAAGAGTAGGGTGCTTACAAGGCATTAATGAAACATTGTCCATTCATAAATATGGGTAAAAAATCTACTCAAGTAAATTTAAAAATTTGCTTTGAAATAGCAGCCACCTTAAATTTCATGGCATAAAGAACTGGGCCAAACAACTCTTCCTTCACAACATCCGCAGTTGAAGATATTTCTACTATTGTTGGCTGCACAAAATTTCCTTCAGATTGTATAACTGAGCCGCCTGCAAGGATCTTGCCTCCCTGAAAATTTACCAATAAATAAAATTGTGATGGAAAATAAGAGCCAAAAAGAGTTTACAAGAACTCAACTGCTACTGGACTATTCTGCCTTCAGATGTGATATGGGACTTTCCAAGACTATCATTACGCGTTCCCTAAAAGAACAAAAGCAAAGGTATCTCGGCCTTGAAGATGGATATGCAGCTTTTACTAATGCCCTTTAGTGTGTGTGTGTGTGTGTGTTTGTAAGTTTGTATTATACGGGTACTAGTGTGCGCGTGTCTCGGTGTCTCCAAGCATACCCTCGTTGAAAGAAACAAATAAACAGTTGGTTTAAATTGTGTGATTCCAATTCTAAGAAAATACTACAGCTTTACGAGATTCGAGGTGTCAAGGTATTGGAACAAATGCTGCTTAAGATGGTCTATTCCCTCTGTATCATCTCCTGTTATAATAATGGCATCGACATAAACAGTGAGTGAATAAGGTAGATGAAAGGTCTACAGAATCTACTTTGCTATGAACATGCCAAACTGTTGTACAACTCTGATGAATCTCTCAAACCAAGCTTGGGGATTGTTTCAAACAATAGAGAGAGTGTCTGTGATGGAAAACAAGAGCTGTCCCCTCTTCAGACAAACACTGGGGGTTCTCTCATATATACCTTTTATGCTTTCACATGACAATGTAAGAAAGACATCTGGATGTCAGCCTGGTATAGTGGTCATTGAAGACCTGCAGCCATGGAAAGAAGAGCCTGTATGGAGGCAATTTGGCCCATTGGTGAAAATGTATCAGTGTTGTCAATATCAAACTTGTGTGTATCCGTGTGCAACAAGTTGGGTTCTGAGCATGCCCACATTTACAACTAGACCGACTTCTCCAAGTCCCAAGTTCTGAAAACTGAAAGTGTCATATGTCATTAATCATTGTCTCCCTGTATAGTGGGTGATAAAGCTTCCTTCACATCTTTCGGAGTGGCAATGGAGTTCAGACAAGTAATGAAACTTTATATGAAGGAGAGGCACGTTTTCTGAGCAATATTACAGATGGGATAGGGTTGTGAGTGGACATGTCACATTCACCTATTCAGCATGTGAGGAAAGTCAGGATATTCTTGGACCGAACAAACAGTAGGTGACGACACGAGAATGGTGACATGTTGGGTTCTGAGCATGCCCACATTTACAACTAGACCGACTTCTCCAAGTCCCAAGTTCTGAAAACTGAAAGTGTCATATGTCATTAATCATTGTCTCCCTGTATAGTGGGTGATAAAGCTTCCTTCACATCTTTCAGAGTGGCAATGGAGTTCAGACAAGTAATGAAACTTTATATGAAGGAGAGGCACGTTTTCTGAGCAATATTACAGATGGGATAGGGTTGTGAGTGGACATGTCACATTCACCTATTCAGCATGTGAGGAAAGTCAGGATATTCTTGGACCGAACAAACAGTAGGTGACGACACGAGAATGGTGACATGCATGGAGAACCAGTAGTGTTCAGTTTTCTCCTTGAAGGATGATTTCTTTGTTTGTTGGTAAGTGTACAAGAATGGTGATGTGAGTGGAGGAGCCCCTGAAGCTTCTCAGTTTCCAGCGTCTCTGAAAGGTGATGGTTACCTATTCGATCTCTAGAAGGTAGTGATCATTTAGTTTGATAGGGTGATGGCTCTCGAAGAAGGTAACACAACAACCAGTTTGTGTCATCTCCAAAATTTCCCCTACGAAGTCAGACTCGTAATTGTTGTTGCGAAGAATATTGTGGACTCAAAAAGGAGATCTTAGAGAAGGTCAAAAGACGGTGTCAATAGAAAATAATATCTGAAGCCTTTTTTAGCTTGCTGTCTTACCAATTAACAGGTCTTGAAGAGTTGGTAATAGGCGGCAGCAGTGGCAGCTTAACAATAAAATTAACTGCCCAGGAGCCCAGTTAGTTGAGCATCAACCCTCTTCCATATCTTATCATTTTTAATATTGACAAGTTCTCTGGTTAGGTGATCTGACACACGCTGACCATTGTAGCCAAATTTCAACTGCATATGCCTATGCATGAATATTCTAAAACCAAGTTAATCTGGTAAAGTTACTGACTGAACTACATGAAAGGATTGGAACATATAATGAGTGGAATGATACAGAAATTCGAAATTTCTGAGAATTTTATGGACTAGTGCAGAAGGTGAAGGATCCTCGGGAGTCAGGAGTAATTTTAATGTCAGAACTGGACATGATTCAAGAAAAATTTGTAGTTTTTTGGAATTGTGAGGAATAGAGTTAGCTTGGTAGATTCAGACAAGAAAAGGAAGAGCCATTCTAAAAATGATGACTTTAGGTGGGAAAGCAATGGATCGGGACAAGTGAAGGAATAGACAATGGCTTATGGCTCTTGATTTTATTAGGAGTAAGAAAATAGATTGAATAGTACATGTTTAACATAGCCACCAAGGAGGAGATTCAATGCTTGATTAACTAGGAACAAAATGAAACAAATTAACAAGAAATAATTACATAAATATGACCAAACTAAAGATGATTTACAAAAATATGACTAGTGACTAGAGTAGTAATGAAATCATAGTAGAAAGAATGACTAGAATATCACTTCTAGAGTTTCAATTTACAAAAATATGACCAAATTTCGTGTGGACAAAAAACTAACTAAAATTGGAATGAATGGACTGAAATATCCTCAGCCCTAATTACCCGTCCGAGTAGTGCAGGACAATTCTTACGCTCAACAATTCATCGAGGACCTCTTCTTCTCTCCTGCTGTGCTCGTATGCTTCAACCACAGTAGCGGCGGCACCACCGGCGGCATCCACCGTCTGCGACGTCTCCCTCATCATCTCCGTCGCCTATGCCCTCTTCATCGCTTGTGCTGCGTCTTCGACGGCGTCGACGCTGCCCTCGCTCGTTTTCTTCTTCTCTTACTTTTCCTCTCTGTTACATGAGCGATTGGGGACAGTGAAGATCTAATAATGATGGAGATAGAGCCGGTCATTCGTTGATGGCGACTTTGGAACATATTTGTTGGCAAGTGAGGTTGTGCGAACAGATCTGGGGTGGGGCAGGACAAGGGCAGTCCTTAATGGAGCGTCGTTGCGGCTGGCGGAGGTGCAACGAGGGTTTTGTGGAGGTGCGGTGGTGGTATGGTAGGCCTTAGGGCAAATTGGCCGGAGAAGGGGTTGAGTGCGGTGGAGGGGAGCAGTGTAGAGAGACTAGGACAAGGAGTGGGTGCTGGGGGCTGGGAAGCAGGTGCGTAGGGCTATGGGCAGGGGCGGGTCGTCGGGACGGCGGTGGTGGTTGGAGGCTGTGACGGTTGAGGGCTTGTTGCGGTGTACGGCGGTGATGGTCACTGTCGTTGTGAAGGGGCTGGGGAGGTGGATGGGTGCTGAGAAGGGGCTGGGGCGGTGGTCGGCAATGGGGAGTTGGTCGGTAGTGTTGGTCACTGGGCAGACAGTTTCATCATTGGGCTGCGGGTTTGGTCATTAGCGGGGCAATAGAGGTCATTGCACGGCAATCACCGTAGAAATTGGTCATCGAGCGGATGTCACTTTGTTAATTGGTCACTGGACAAAAGTCACTGTGTAAATTGGTCACTGAACGGAAGTCACTATAGGGTTGGTCACTCACGGTGGCCGGCGGAAGTCACTATGACGGAGGTCACTGAATGGTATGTCACTGTGACGGACTAGGTCACTCATTGATAAAGTCACTAGGGGTCAGGGGTAATTTAGTAAGTGTAATGTTAATTAATTAGTCACATTTTTGGAAATTAAAGAGAAAGTTAACTTTTTTGTCCATTTGCTAATTTTTAGTAATATTGGTGACCTAACCCCATCATAGTAATTGATGTTCAAGTTTTGAGCTTAAGTTACCACAACATCACATTGTAGTAATGAATAGTCATATTTATGTAAATATGTTTTATTTTAGTAATATTCTTGTAAAAAGCTCAATTAACAATGGGTTGTAATAAGGTGTGCCACAAAACCATATACCTTATAGTTTATACTACAGAAATTGGCCCACAAAACTGGGTGCTATGACTATTATATGGCTAAACGGAGTAGCCCGGTGAATGTTGGCGTCCCCGCAAGGAGAGGGTCCAGGAAGGGTCCGGCCACAAGGATGTATAGGGGAGTAGGGGACAAGCATTCCCTTACCAATTCCTGACAAAAGGACTCTCCCAAAACTTGAACCCGTGATCTCTCTATCACACCGCATCACCGTAACCAGTGGTGTGCTAAGGCTACCCTTCAATGACTATTTAAATATATACATATTAGTATACTCATTCATAATTTCAGTTTCAACACAATATCTTAGTTGAAGCCCACATAAAGCTTTACATCCTTCACAAATTTTAAGGTCTAAAATTACTAGCCCTAAAAATATACTCCCTGTCCCGTTAAACTTGGCTAAAGTTTACATGCATGTGGAATAATAAAATAAAAGTTGTGTAGTTGAGATTTGTGCAGAGGAGAGAGAAATAGCTTTAAGCACATACGGAGTATTTGTTACTTTAAATGGAAATGACAATTCTGTTTTTGAGACGACTAAATAATAAAAAGATGGCAAAGTTTTGTGGGATGGAAGGAGTATATCATAAGAATGTTGAGACCTCTCAGCTTAATGGTAATTCATAGCGAGCACAGCGTACCTCGGATTTTATTTTCTCAAGTCCCTTCTCAAAATTCTCCCTTGAAGCTTGTGTATGCAGTGGTCCAAGTAAGGTACCCTTTTCTAAAGGATCCCCTATCTTAACTTGCTTATATGCATCAACAAGACGTTCAACTACTTTGTGATATATACTTTCATGAAGAAGCTTTGCCAAAAGAATCACAAAAGAAGAGTATTAGCAACAAAGATGTTATAATGTGAAAGACAGATTAAGATAAAAACATGTTTACCAGTCTTCGGCAAGTTGTACAGCGCTGACCAGCAGTTCCGACCGCAGCAAATAAAACAGCACGAACTACAAGTTCAGTGTCGGCGTCATCCATGACAATTATAGCATTATTACCGCTTAGTTCAAGCAAACATTTGCCAAACCTCTGGTTCACTGTTTGCTGTACTGAAAGGCCCACCTGATCCATGTAGGCACACAGTCCAAATACAAAGGTGGCAAATGGTAGTCAGAATGTTATCATCATTTAATATTACTACTGGGGTGATACTATGTATGCATCAGAAAATGAATGTTAATCAGAAACAAGAAGCACATTTTACCTTTGAGCTACCAGTGAATGATACTAGAGGGATTCGTGTATCTTTTGCTATGGCTTGACCAATTTCTGCACCCGCACAAAAAGCAGTGAAAATTGCTCCAGGCAAATCGTTTTTCTCTAACACCCCAGTGATAATTTTTGTCAATGCTATAGTAACCAACGGTGTAGTTGGAGCACCTTTCCTGATACCATATACTCATATAGTAAAACAAACTTCAGAAGCAGTATTCCGTTAACTCTAGTCAAGAAAGAGATCGAAACAAGGACTCGCACCAACAATAAAGTCAAAGCACACTAAGAAACGTAGGCATTCTGATCATTAAGAATAGCGTGCTAAACATATAAGAAAGAAACTAGGTAACAAGAGCAAGCCCAAACATTTAAAATCAAGTTTTTTCTTTCCAAACAAAGTGAAAAGGTGGAAAAGACAACTTTTTTACGAGCTCACCAGACAACACAGTTTCCACATACTAAAGCAATGCATGCATTCCATCCTGTACAGTCATGTTTAAAAAGGTTATCCATTAATGTATGACAAATCTAATGGGGCAACTTTGGAAGAAAATTAACCGATAGTCAAAATTAACTGATACATTCTCAGAAACTCCCATGAATTTAACAATAAACAAGTACACTCCATAATTTATAAATCACATAGCTAAGCATCTACAAATCCCAACTCTTACCCAGAACTGCACTTGGAAAGTTGAAGGCAGTAATCACACCAACTACCCCAAGAGGATTCCACATCTGTTCACAACGAATATATAAGGATAATCACAAGTGTACACTCATAAAACACAATACCACAACCCCAGTCTGTTATTTACTGCACCTCCAACATTGCATGATTAGGCCCTGTTGACAAAAAAAGACTAATTACATTGAACTTCTAAGGTATATATATAAATATAGAGAACACTAGAATTCCAGAAGAAGCATCTCAATATCCAGATCATAAATTTCCTAAGATTTTATGTAGTTCACATATACGTGAAGTTAAAACCATGAGGAGCTAATTAAACTAGAGAAAAGGTACCCTTAAAATATAATACTTGGAGCATTTACAATCAAAACAGATATCAGCAAGTGAAGATGGGTAGGCTCACGTTCTGACGGTATGACTACTCCATTCAGTTGCCGGCTCAATCCAACAGCAAAGTCACACATGTCAATAATTTCCTGTTTAAATAGTTTTATAGCTAGATAGTTAAATAATATTGGCATGAATACTAAGAGAAAATCAAAGAAAATCGAGTGTGTCCACTTGCATGAAGCATCACAGATTTTATGGCTAACGGCTAATCCAAAATTGTATTTCAAAGAAAGATTGTGACAATCAGAAGCAAGGTTACTATTAGATTTTATAATAGCAGATTATAGTAACTAATTTGTAAACGACAGTAACCAACTATCCTTAAAAAAATGGAGTTAGTGTGTGGATTACTGTAAGCATGAGAACACTTCAATGGACACTTTTTATTAGAAAATGAACTCAGATGAAATGAAGGAGATTTCAATATTATTGATTACAAGAGTCAATACAAGTATTTATAGTAGAGTGCAAGTAACTAACTCTAACAGCCTGTATAACAGCACTAACAGTCTAAGGTATATCTAGAAGGTTCCAAGCTATTTACAATAAACGTATGTAACATTATTTTATATTCCTAACATTCCCCCCTCAAACTTAGGGTGATTGATTTGGAAGGTCAGTCAATCACAATAAGTTTGGTTTTTAACTCAAGAAAAGAAGATGCAGATAAAGCCTTTGTCAGAATATCAGCAATTTGTTGGGAAGCAGGAATATGGAACACTTCAATCTGCTTGGACTGAACTTTCTCCCTCACAAAAAAGAGATCAATCTCCATGTGTTTTATCCTGGAGTGTAACACAGGGTTGTGGGCAAGCTGTACAGTGCTGAGGTTGTCACAGTAGATCTTTGGAGTAGAAAATGATAATTGAAGTTCTTTGAGTAAGAACTGAAGCCACAGAAGTTCAACTGAAGTGTCTGCTAAACTTCTGTATTCAGCTTCTGCAGAGGATCTGGCCACTCTCAGTTGTTTCTTGGACCACCAAGAGATGATGTTTGACCCAAGAAAGATGCATGATCCAGAAGTGGACCTTCTGTCAACTAGGTCAGATGCCCAATCAGCATCACAAAAGGCAAAGATAGGTAAAGGCATAGTTTTCAGAGGTAGAGGTTTAATGATGATGCCATGTGTTATAGTACCAGATAGATATCTGAGAATGTGTTTTACTGCTTTCCAGTGATCTTGTAGAGGTACTGCCATGAACTGACAGACCTTATTTACAGCATAACTAAGTTCTGGTCTTGTAAGAGTTGCATATTGCAGCATGCCAACAATGGATCTATAAGTGGAGGGATCAGGAAGAGTAGCACTTCCTGTATTAGTTAGCTTGCAGCTACTAACCATGGGAGTTTTCACTCCTTTGGAATCAATCATGCCAGCTTGATGTAACAAATCTCTTATGTATTTGGTTTGAGAGAGATGAAGACTTCCATCAGGCAGCTTTTTGACTTCTATTCTTAGGAAGAAGTCAATGTCACCCAAGTGCTTGAGAGAAAAGGATGAGTGTAGTTTGTAAATAAGGTTTTGAATTGCTTTAGAATCAGTGCCTATGACCAGAATATCATCTACATATATTAATATGTAGATCTGAACTCCTTGAGACTTGAAGAATAGGAGAGATGGATCACATTTACTTTGCTGAAACCCTGCTGTATAAAGAACTGAAGTCGGTTTGTGAAACCAGGCCCTAGGAGCCTGCTTTAGGCCATACAATGACTTGTGAAGTTTGCAGACTAAAGTGGTGTCCTGTGCCTGAAAGCCTGGGGGTTGGACCATGTAGACTTCTTCATCAAGTGTTCCATTTAGAAAAGGCATTATTGACATCTAATTGTTGAATGGACCAATGATAAGAAACTGCCAAGGTGAGCAATATTCTGATAGTGATAGGTTTGATCACTGGAGAAAAGGTTTCTTTGAAATCAAATCCAAATCTTTGATAGAAGCCTTTGGCCACTAATTTGGCCTTATATTTGTTAAGAGAACCATCAGGGTTTTCTTTAACACGAAAGACCCATTTACAGCCTATAGCTTGTTTGTCAGGTGGTAAAGGAACTAAAGACCATGTTTGATTTTCTATCAAGGCATTATACTCATTTTTCATTGCAGAAAACCACTGAGGAGATGTGAGTGCTTGCTTCACTGACTGAGGCTCAACATGTGCTAATAGCAAGGTAGGATTAAGTCTAGGTTTAATAATTCCTGATTTTTATCTAGTTTGCATAGGATGAGTGTTAGTTATAAGAACAGAATTTGAAATTGAGAAAGTAGAGTCAGATGATGGAGGAGAAGGTGGTTGTGGATGAATAGCTTGCTGATGTAGGGATGGACTGAGAGTAGAGTTGTTGGAATTTACTGAAGAATTATGAGTGGAAGGAGTAGATGAATGGCTTGCTGATTGATTGTGATTATTAGAAGAGATGGGTTGCGAGGCAGTGGGATGGGAATTATTGGATGAGAGATTATGAGATTGAGATTGTGATTTAGTGAAGGAAAGTTCATGAAACTGGGATTGAGATGAGTTAGAACCAGAAGAAGGATTTGAGTCTAAAACATTTAATATGAATAGGGAAAACTGGATTCATGAAAGATGACATCCTTTGAAATGTACACTCTGCCAGATTTAAAAAGACACTTATAGCCTTTATGCTGAGAAGAATATCCTATGAATGTACACTCTTCTGAGTGAAAATCAAACTTGTGTTTATTGTAAGGTCTGAGAAAAGGATAACAAGTGCAACCAAAGACTCTAAGAGAAGAATAATCTGGAATAGATCCATAAAGTTTAAAATATGGGCTGGAATTGGCAATGGACTTGGATGGAGTTCTGTTGATAAGATGCACAGAGGTTTCAAATGCAGCATCCCAGAACTTAAAAGGTAAAGAAGAATGGGCTAGGATTGAGAGACCTTTTTCAACAATAGTGCGATGTTTCCTTTCAACCAAACCATTTTGATGATGAGTGTGGGGACATGTGATTCTGTGAGTGATTCCTTTTTCATTGAGGAAATTAGTGAAGGATCTAAATTCCTTTCCCCAGTCAGACTGTACAGATTTTATGGATATTGAAAATTGATTGAGAATCAAGTTGTAGAAATTTTGGAATGCTAGAAGAGCATCAGACTTATTTTTCAGGAAATATATCCATGTATATCTTGTAAAACCATCAATAAAGGCTATATAATAGGAATATCCATCAAAAGATACAATGGGTGCTGGACCCCAAAGATCTGTGAATATTACTTCAAAGGGTTTATGATAAACAGTATTAGAAGGATGTGAAGGAAGTCTATGTGCCTTCCCAAGACAGCAAGCAGAACAGAAATCAACATCAATGTGATTTATAGAAGACACATTACAATGTTTAAGTACAGATTTAAGTGCCTCAAGATGAGGATGACCTAATCTGAGATGCCAAAGATTACATGAAATTGAAGAATTACATGACTGAGACTTATTACATGATGACAAACAAGACATTGGATGCACAGATTTATTAGTAGACACTAAAGAGGCTGGAGGATGAACTGCACCAGTTGGACATGGACCAAGAGGAATGAAAGGAAACTTGTGTAAGCCATCTTCACCAAGTTTTCCATGCAACAAGACTTGTTTAGAAACCTGAGATTTGACATAGCAGTCATGAGGATAAAATTCAAAGAAGACATTATTGTCCTTGGAAAATTGACTAACACTCAGTAGATTTTTGGTTATATGAGGAACATGAAGTATATTATTCAGTAAGAGTGATAAGGTGAGAGAAAGGAAGAAAAACCTATAGACTTAATATCCAAACCTTGTCCATTGCCCATGAAGAGCTTGTCAGATGTGGCAATAGGCTCACTGTGCTGGAAATTCAATGGATCTGCAGTAACATGGTGAGTTGAAGGTTTCAGGAGGTGGAGATGGATTGGTAGGCTGATGATTCCATGACTGATTGAGTTTTGAATACTTTTGATTGTATAGACTGAGATTGAAAGGTATATGGTTTAGGTTGATGAGTATAATGATTTGGAGGACAGTGAGATTGTGAGTTGGGATTCCAGTAGGGTGGAGGTCCAGATGTTTGATTTGGATAATTAGGGTTTTGAGAAGAAGGATTAGGGTTTGGATTGGTATATGCAGGATTGTGTCTATGGTAGCAAATCAAGGCATGGTGACCTGATTTTCCACAGACTTGACAAATGATAGAATTACGTCCAGAGCGACCACCCCTGCCTCTGTAATAGCCATTGCGACCACGCCCGCGGTAAGGATTACCACTATTTGGATTATTATACTGAGAAACATTTGCAGAGGCATTTTCAACAGAAACAGAGATTTCAGATGAATTGTTCTGAGGAAGTATCAACTTGAGCAACGTTAGCAGAAAATATACTTTGCTGAGTAGTGTCATGATGTTTCTTAAGTCTCATCTCTTTTGCTAGAAGCAAGGACTCAAGTTCAGCTAAGGTAACTGGTTCGAGAATGCTGCGAGAAGTTACAGAGGACACAAGAGCTTCATAATCTTGCGGCAATCCTTCGAGTATGACATTGATATGATCTTTATTAGAGATCGGTTCACCTACGAGAATAAGGTTGTTAACAATTGTCTGAATTCTAAGCAGGTACTCTGAGATGGATCGTTCCCCTTTTCCAATGTTATAGAGATCGGATTTGAGCTGCCTTGCCCTAGCAACGATGTTAGCTTGGAAGAAATTGTGAATCGTGTTCCAGAGTTCATACGATCGCTGGCAATGAATAATACGAGCATGCAGAGTTTCAGATAGAGACGAAAGCATCCACGCGAACAACATCTGATCCTGTTGATCCCAGTGAGTGTAAGCCTCATTCACAGTCTCCTTTCCATCTTCATCTGTGATGAATTGCTCTGGAGTCTTCGAATTCTCTATGAATCGAACGAGTTTGTGCGCGCGAATCACAGACTCAACATGATGCTTCCACAAAAGATAGTTATTCGAGTCTAATTTGATTGGAAGAGGGTGATTGAACGCTACTGGAAAGGCGACACTTCCAACAACGGAGGTTGAAGATGAAGTTGAATCAGTTTCCGGCATGGTTGATCGAGCTAAAGCTCTGATACCATATTAGAAAATGAACTCAGATGAAATGAAGGAGATTTCAATATTATTGATTACAAGAGTCAATACAAGTATTTATAGTAGAGTGCAAGTAACTAACTCTAACAGCCTGTATAACAGCACTAACAGTCTAAGGTATATCTAGAAGGTTCCAAGCTATTTACAATAAACGTATGTAACATTATTTTATATTGCTAACACTTTTATTATTGCAGAAGTATAAAAGATTTGTGGTCCACACTAGTAGATAAGTACATACTTGAACCTCCCCAATTCCTTCCGGTAGTATTTTCCCCATTTCAAGTGAAACAAGTCGGCCAAAGTGTTGAAGCTTTTGTCTCAGTGCATCACCAATCTGCCTAACAATATCACCTCTTTTTGGTGCAGGAATCTGAGGATAAACAAAACAGCCAAGATAATTATTGAACAATGAACATAAATAGTTCTGCAAAATGTGAGTCGATGTTTTAGGTACATGAAATCCAGAAAGAGAGAGACTGAAAAGAAAGATTGTTATCCTTATTATGACAGTCCATATACCTGCATCCACAGCTTAGCTGCCTCATAGCAAGCCTGCATGCCTTCTTCATAATCTTCTATTGAAGCCTCAACAACTTTAGCAATTGTCTGAGTTGATGAAAGCGTGCCAATTAAATTAAAACACACACAACCACGACCATAAAAAGGAAATAGTTATCCACGTTGGGATAACAAAAATTATCATTGTACTTCTCCAATGAAACAATAGAAGAATAAAAGGGTGTTTGGATCTACTTTTCAAAACTGCTTCTGCTCACTGAAGAGCAGATCTAGATTTGGGAGTGCTTGGGTGAAACTCCGACAGCACTTCTAACTGCTTTTAACTGCTCCATATAATCAGTTTTAGAGAAGCTATTCTACTTCTTAAATGTTAAATCCCAGAATAACAATTACGAAGTATTAAATTTAAGTACAAGTATAATAAAAAGTACAAACACAAATAAATTAGTGCAAATATTACTGAAAATATTACTATGCATGAGTATGAATATGAATATGATACATGAATATAACATAACTACATGATTTTAAGCATTAATATAATTGTAAGTCTTGATTGAAATTTAATTTTGTTCAAATCGACAAGTGTGGATAGATTTTATTTTCAAGTATTAACCCCAATGTTTGCTTGTTCAAACATTTCAAGCTTTGAAAAGAATATAAATGTCATTAAAAATATTAGTCATTACTGAAAATATTAATATGCGTGAGTATGAATATGAATATGATACATGAATATAACATAACTACATGATTTTAAGCATTAATATAAATTTAAGTCTTGATTAAAATTTAATTTTGTTCAATCGACAAGTGTGGATAGATTTTATTTTCAAGTATTAACCCCAATGTTTGCTTGTTCAAACATTTCAAGCTTTGAAAAGAATATAAATGTCATTAAAAATATTAGTCGTTATTTTTACATCTTTTCAGCATCAATGTTTTGATATGTACTGTTCGGAATCATTATTCTTCTTGGGTGGGATGAGTGTATGGCTTTGGAGAGAGCAAAGTGAAGGGGGCATATTTGTGTGGACGGGTGGTCTCTTTTCACTCTTTCCTCTCTATTTTTCTTTTATTTTTATCTTCTTTATCTTTCTATGTTGTTGTGTTATTTTTATATTTATTATGCCCTTTTATCATTCATCTTTTATCTTTCTTATGTTACTTTTATCTTGTACGTAGTATTTGTCTTTATTTTATCCATTTTATCATACTTTATTTTTTTTATTCTTTTTTTATTTTACCTTTCTTATCTTTTTGGCTCTGTTATCATGGATCGATTTGATCCAAAATCTTTTGGAAATAAGGCTTGGATGTTGTTGTTGTTGCGGAATTTTTTTGCATCACCTATCATTTGTATCATTAATATTGTTTATTCGTATATAGCATTAAAATATGTTCTGCAGGTAATTTGTACACACAAAAAGTGAAAAACAAAAGCAAACAAATTGTCAAACACTAGATAATCATATAGCAGCAGAATCAATACCAAAAACTCTACCTCGGATCACTTTATTATACAACTGAAAATTCTGATTCTGCTTTAACAAAAAGAGGAGAAACAAAATCGATTCAAACACCCGTAAGAAAGAACTTCTCCGAGGAATGAAATTCAAAAACTATGAATCCTTAGTATATTCATTTGAACAATAAACAATCCGCGATTCAATCATAAAACCTAACCATTAGAGTAAATAGCAGTGATGGACAGTATTAAATGCTGGGCCCGTTTTATTATGATAAATTCACCGCATGCTGATCAAAATCAAACAAACAGAACGTAATCATATGAACTCGCCTCGTTGTTCGCAGGATTTACAGTGGAGATCGTAGGTCCACTAGCCTTCCACGCCCCATTGACATAGCATCCGAGATTTGTAGGGCCGATTCCGACCTCCTTGAGGAACGCGTATTCGGGCTTCGCGAAACTCATCTATACATTCCAAAATTAAATTAATAATGCATAAACAAAGATAACGAAAAGGAAGTAGCATCACTGCAAGAGTGCAAGATGAAATTACTATAATTCGGAGATATAGCTTTATACAATCGCCTGTAACACACAGTGCCTGTGGCGGAGCAAGTGCACTGGGATGCGATTGTCTGAGTGATTGATAAATACTAGTGATAAGTTGTGCAGACGAAAGCCCAGATTATCTACTCATTGTCAAACTGATCAAACTCATTGGGAATTTGGTGGTAGAGTTGTGGGGAGGTAAGAATCGGTGTGAGAAGGTAAGAACGCCCGTGAACCATAAATTCTTTATCAAAAAAGTAAAGTATAGTTCTTTTTGGGACGGATGAAAAGAGAAAGTTGGAAGTTCTTTTAGGGCATCCTCATCCATGAGATTATTTAAAATTTAATTGGATGATGTGTAAGATTATTTTACATATCATCATTGTGAGTGAGAGATTATTTAGAGAGATTATTGAAAAAGAAAATTCAGTATCAAGATTTGAATCCCGGATTATTTTAGATTGTAGTTAAAATGCATTTAATGCATGATCTAGAATATCTAATTATTTGAGTATCATGGTTGATGAAGAGTTTTAAATTTGAGATTATTTGAGATTTATTAAATAAATGTGATGTGACAATGACGTGTAATCGAAAAATCGTTTATTTTAAGATCATGAATGGAGATGCTCTTAGGGACGGAGGGAGTACAATATTTGCTTTCATGTACCCAACTTGTATCCACCACGTTTTTGAAGCTTTTTTATTTTGTCTATGAACCCGGTTCTAAAACAATATTTTGTTTGTGCAAAATATTGTTTGTGAATCGATGTTCACAGACAAAAAACGCTTTTCACAAACATATGTGTGTACAAAAGTGGGTACAAACATCATTTTTGTTCGAAATATACTTAGTAATACCTAGGTAATTTGACAAGTGCAAAATATGTGAGAAATAAGAATAGTAAAAAAAGTGTGGTTGAGATTTGTGCACACGAACGAGAAGTCAAAAATCTCTCTTTTTTAAGAAATCATGCTTGCTCACTAGAGATCAATCTAGGTAGGAGTTTGGATAAACAATTACATATATGGCTAAAATAAAGGTTGTTTGCAAAAATGTGACCTCCTAAATGTAGTGATTATAATAATAATTTTACTCATCGTAACTTATATTCAAATTTTACACTTAAGTGACTATGAAACTATACTATGATAAATACTAGTCATATTTTTATAAATAAGTTTCATTTTAGCACAATTTATAGAGTTCCTTTTATTTATTTATCTAATTATTCATTTATTTATGTATATATTGTTGGGTGTGTTTCGAAAAACAAAGAAAATAATTAATAAAAATTAATTAATTAAATGACTAAAGAAAACAGAAAATAGATGGAACAGAGTTTAGACAGAGCTCGTGTTACGCACGATGTCCTTAAAACGTATTCGTCGCTTCACACGGTGCTAGGAGCGTTGCAACGACCATTTCCAAGGATACGATGGCTAACGAACTAACATTTGAGCACACAAACGGAAGTCCCGACGAAAGGGAACACAAGTAGAACACTTGGAATTTTTCAGGAAGCTGGGGGTGTTTTTCGAGCTAAAATATGTGTATAATTGCTTGTGAACGTGTGTTTGTTGCAAAGCACCTGTCAGCTATTTATAGGAGGATTTGTGGTGTGTTAACTGAGCTTTAATGGACCTGAATGTTGCACATAAATGTCCAGCACGTTGGACATTAATATGTCGAAAACTGTCCATTTAAAAATGCATTAAAAGACAAGAACGTTGGGCATTAATATGTTGAAAACTGTCCATTTAAAGATGCATCAAAAGACAAGAACTTTGGGCATTTAAAGGTTGTAACAGCTTAGAGCTGTTCTGGTGCGCGACCAGAATGCCCCCACCAGAACACCTTACGAGGTGTTCTGGTCTGAAGCCACTAGAAGACCATGAGGTCTTCTGGTCCTGAAGCCAACAGAAACCCTCTCGGGTCTTCTGGTCCGGAAGCAAACAGAAAGCGGAGCAATTCTAGTTCTGGGCAAAAAAAAAAGTTACGGGAAGAAACGAAACTTATACCGTATCTTTGAAAGAGATTTTTGGACGACATTCGTGTCCCGCAGGTCACCCGCGCAAGTCCCGGTTTCTCTTCTCCGTTTTCGGGATTTGATCGACACCCCCTGCGCGCTAAGAGAACCTTTCCCCTTAGGAATCTTAACTCCTTCAAGGTGGGTTTCCTTTATAAAGGGTTGAAAATCCCCTGGGTTTTCCGGTGTGGGATAAATCACACTAGAAATCCATCTTTTCCCACTTTTTCCGTTTCAACGAGTGAACTTCGAGAATCAATTTCTCATTCACCCGTTGTCCGTTTTGAGTGTACCATATATCGAATTGTAGCCCTTAACAAGGACAATCCAAATCCACTTTGACCCGACCCAAATCGAAAGTGGACCTCGTTCAAAATATTGCCCCAAATTGACCATTTAATGCAATTTTAACACATTTTTCCAACATATAATTATTTATTCATTTTTTATAACCATGTATGACTCACGAACCCACAAATTTAAAAATGATTAAGTTTTATTCGAGTTTGATCAAATTCGAGTTAACTTTTTATCAAGTGGCTCATAAATAGTTCACGAATGGCCTGACTCGTTGGCCCTTACATATACCAGTACAGTAGTACTGTAATACCCAATGAAAAATATTTAATGTACATGAGTTGTGCACAAAGTGTACTGTGTACATACTATAAAATTGATCTCACAAACAACTAAAACAGATCACACAGATAACTATTTTTATGAGTCGCACAACTATTGTCTGTGTACAAGTTGTGTATAACTTGTGTATACGTAGCATTTCTTCTCATCAATACTTCACGAACAACTGGAGTCGTTGGCCCCTAGTGGTGGACTCGGTTCGGACCGGGCCCGGTTCGGGCCTAGAACCGGCCGGGCCTCGGTTCACGGAAGGTAGGCCCGGAACCGGCCCGGATTACCCTGGGTCCGGTTCGGTTCGGGTCGCCCGCCCGGTTCACGGGACGGGCCTTTTAATTTTTTTTATATATTATATTATTAGAATAATTCTTATTACAATTACAATATATTATATTCGAATTCAAGTATATTTATTTCAAATAAGAAGTACAATTGAGAATTAGGATGAATTTAAAAAATGTAATACATTTTGTAATAAAAAATCAATCGGAATCTCCGCCTTCGGTTGTTTCCTCCATAAAGTGGCGGGTGGGAGTGATGGTAATTTCTTGAGTTCTTCGTTGGGCCTTCAACCAATCGTGAAAGCAAACTAGTGTCTCAAGAGGGCTCGGGCTCAACCTCGTTCTATAATCGGTTAGGACGTTGTCGGCCGTACTAAATTCTTGTTCCACGGCAACGGTTGATATCGGCATTGCTGGCACTTGCTTAGCCATCTTTGATAAAAACGGGAATGTTCTTTCATTTTCCTTCCACCACTTAAGAACGTTAAAGTTATCACCAACTTCATAATCAACATTCAATGTTAGATACAAAGAAAGCTCGTTACCTGAGCTTTGTTCAGTAGCGGGAGTTGCTCTACTTTTTTTCAAAAGAGAACCAAAAGCGGATTTTAAAAGTGATTTTCTTTTAGATGAAGAAGATGTTCGTTGCATGGGAGGGGGTGCATTAACATATTGTGCATGAAATTCATTATACAATTGATGAAATAAATTACTAACCTCGTTGAATTCTTGTTTAGGGTCGATGGGATTATCATCGAACTCTTGAGTTGGAAAAAAAGAAGCATTATAGTAATCTATACAATTTGCCAAGTAAGCAAGTTTATAACGAGGATCAAGAACAAATGCAATACCATATATATGCGGAATATGTGAATAATATTTTAAAAACTTTTGTTTCATGAAATCACAAAAATAACTAACGTAAGTGGCTTCGGAAAATTCACAAAAAGCGCCGGCGAGATTAACAGCTTCAACAAAAAATTCGTTTGCGGTAGGTTTATAAAAATGACTACAAGTTAGAGTTGCGTTATTAAAATATGCCAAAACATTAACAATTTTTTTCACAAGTGTCGATGTCGACCGGGTTTATAATATAGTTACAAGTTTGTCTTAAAAAGCTGGAAAATGATCTTTATATCTAACAAGTACTTGAATTAAATTATAAGTACTATTCCAACGAATAGACAAATCTTTAGGAAAAGCACAATAATTCACACGTCTATCCTTCAAATATTGCCGCCATTGCATTTTTAGTGGAGTGCTAGCCCAAATCAATTTAATTCCCCCCCCCCCCCCCCTTCACTACCTCCAAAGCATTTCCTAATGCCGCTAAGCCATCTTGTACACACAAATTTAGAATATGGCATGCACAACGTTGATGAAAAACATACTCATCAATGTAGAAGCACCACACAATTCACGTAATCTAGGTATAGCAGCAGTATTATTACTAGCATTATCAAAATCTACAGCAAACACCTTATCAATCAAATTATACTCAATTAAAATACGTTCAATGAGAATATAAATATTATCAGCAGTGTGACGATCATTGAATTCACGAAAAGTAAGAACACGTTTATGCATATTCCAATCATCATCAATATAATGTGCAGTAAGACCCAAATAATATAAATGATGATAAGTATCCTCCTATATATCGCTACAAATACTAACACGTCCATCAAAGTTTGCGAAAAATATTTGTAATTTTTCTTTTTCCAAGTTATATTGCCTTATAACTTCTTTTTTAATCGTTTCGCGACTATAATTTCTAAATTGAGGATTTAAAGTAACTTGAGCATAATCTCTTAAAGCAAGACTTTTGGAAAAAATATAGGGTAAATTTTCTTCAACAATTAAATGAGACATACCAGTCAAATGTTTTTTATCATCATAGGAAAAATTACCAAAGGGTTGAGAATTTGCAAACCTCGATATTTGTGTTTGCTTCCCCTTGCCTTTGTCTATTTTCGCATACTCCACAAAGTGGGCGGACTGAAGATGCCTTTTGAGACTCCCGTATCCGCCAGAAGTTCCCAAGCTAAACTCTTTCTTGCAATGATTGCAACTTGCGTACCATTTTTCGGTTTTTTCGTCTTTCCTTTTTGTATAATTGTTTTCAATAATAGGATATTAAGATTTCTTACCAATTTGGGTTGTAGTCGTTGAACGGCCCTCGTCCTCCAACTCTTGCCCGTCGCCCCCCGCGTCCTCCTCCGCATCGTCATCCTCGAGCTCCTCTTCATCGATGGTTGTCGGGAATTGTTGTTCCTGTGCAAAACGTGGATCATTTTGGGACAATAGGTGTTGTAGTTGCT